ACATTGAAAATCTTCCATGAAAGATGTGAAATTTCATAGGTAAATAACTACGCAAAATGGCAGAATGGACTTGGCTACACTGCATCTGTTGAGGCCTGGGTTTCACCAGCAGATGTTTTCTATATATTTACTGTATTTTTTATATGTAAGTTATTGGTGCTGTGCACGGCACTTTCAGAAGAAATTAGTGACTCGTTTATTGTAGCAGCACCAAGTATAATGTTCCTGGCAGCAGATCTGCAGCCTAGATAATCACATGTGGTGTTGCAATTTAGATGATGTTGCACTTGGAATTAAAATTAACATTGACCCAAGTCTGAAACAACATGAAATGTAAGGCTTGTATCACAGGGCTTGTATCTAAAAACCTGTGTAGTTATTCAACGCTTCTTTAAATGGAATTACTTTCTTACATAACTTTCTAGAAGAAAACAGCTTTATATACCTTGAAAATCTATAGCTTCATGTTGTGTGCTAATTAATGTTCAGCTAATTAATCCTTTTGATGTGTCACATAAGTACCCAATGCATAATTTTCTGTGAAATTATTAAGGTTCAACAAAATGGCAATAATTGGAATATTCTGAAACATGACATAACTCTGGACAACTTCTCAGCCTGCTTTTTGAGGAGCGGTTCCACATGTCAACATACACGCACACGGCACATTGGTGGAGGATATTTCTGATTGCAGGCAAGAGGATTTGAAAGAGAACATTGAGCCTGAACAAGGAATATCAATTTCTTGTCCCTCACAATGTCCAAAATGTTTTTGAATAATTATATCACTTGCCGTTCAATGTCTTTAATGACAGTATTCTAATGAATGTATAGACTTGTCACATAAGAGTTTGATAATTCAGGCATGATTGTCTTAATCATGATGTAGAAATCATGAAAATAGTATGTAATGGGGTCATACAGAATGGGCATGTTGTGTACTTCTGAATTAATGTTTGCAAAATAGTGCTGTGAAAAATAGCAAAGTTGAGTTTTCACATAGAACCAAGATAAATATAATTCATGATTTAGTCTTCACGGATGTCAAATCATTCCACAGATTATCTTCAAGGAGGCAAGGAGAAATAGTAGAAATGGGAATTTTCCCCTGTGTTTTTCCAAAAAGAGCCAAAAAAGACATGTAATAGGGTCATACAGAATGGGCATGTTGTGTATTTCTGAATTAATGTTTGCAAAATAGCGCTGTGAAAAATAGCAAAGTTGAGTTTTCACATAGAACCGAGATAAATATAATTCCTGATTTAGTCTTCACTGATGTCAAATCATTCCACAGATTATCTCCAAGGAGGGGAGGAGAAATAGCAGAAATGGGAATTTTACCCTGTGTTTTTCCAAAAAGAGCCAAAAAAGGCATAACTTCTTTGCTAGTAGATTACATGCACTACATTACTTTCAGTCATCCTGATATCTTACTAGCATGGGGAAGCAAGAAGCTAAGGATCTTATTTTTCATGTAAAATGAGATAGGAAAAGCTCTGTTCTTATTAAAGAAACTTGAAGCTGTATTTATACAACAAATTAATGAGAACTTAGGGTCATAGAGAATTTCTTATTATTTTTCAGCTTTAAGCATGGGGTTCAGGAGAGCTCAGAAAATTACATGTTTGGAAACTGTGCTGCACAGCTGATAAAATGTGTCAACATGTTGATACTTTATTTTGCTAATGGTAATATTGTCCTCATGCTGTGCAGAAAAATGAAAATTGTCTGAATTAACAGAAACCGATGGGGTGTTTATTGTAACACTCTTTTTTAAAGAAATTGATTTTGTTACTGCTATAAGGACTTGTAAATGTATTAGCTAAGTATTACAGTTTTATTTAGCAAGGCTGCGTGATAGAATTGTTTCAATGTTCTTTTTAGAAAGAGTTAACATAAAAGAGTGGAGGTCTTTTCTTTCGCTGAAATTTAGCAGTCCTGTTAAGCATGTATCGGCTTATTTTCTAGGCTCACTTTTATTCCAGCTGTGAGTGGGAAACTTCAGGAAATCATTCCTAAAAAGCACCTTGAGGTGACTAAATTGCTACTTCATTTATATCAAGATGGACAAATTGAAAATCTGCCAACCACAGTCACCAGTGCAAGTCCTGCTGGACTCCCACCCAAACAGATGACACGTTTTGCCTCCTCTGTGATGCAGATATGGGGGATTGATAGTTTCAAAGGTAGGAAGTTCTAGACCAACCTTGTAGATGCTGAAAAGCAAGTGGCGTTCCTCCCTCTTTCCTTTGTCTCCCCATCAGGATAAGATATGGGAAACACCAAAATCATTTTAGGGGCTTTTCTTTAAATTGCAGTGGCAGGAGTGGCCACAGTCAGCAACCAGTAGGAAACAACTGTTGTGGTTCATGGTCTGCTTTGAGAAGGTCTCTTAGAAGTCTGCAAGAACACAGCCAAGTCCCTTTTTATCAAGTGAAGAGCGGTACTTGCAGAGCTTTTCCTCTCCTGGGTTGCATGCTAGTAACACCGCCCTTTCAGAAGGCTTGTTTGCAAAATATTAAAATGAATCAACAGCTTTAGCAAACAGCTAAGCCTAACTTGCAAATAGGACTTAAAACGACTCTAGTTAATTGCATTTTTTGCCTTGTCACATAATACAAAACAGTTTGGGGAGGGGGTTGTATGCTGCTAACCCAAGGATTTGTTTGATGTTATTACAGTGGGTATGTTGCATATGTTCTGTGTTAATGAAATTGCTGCTTTACAGATGAGGACACTCAGGACCAGAAAGGTTAAAACTGGACAATTAGGAATAGCTAGGATTGAAGAGATAGCTGAAGTGTAAAGGCTATGCCCTGGCAGCTGAGAGGAGGGGCAGGGGGTTATTAGTCTGGGACTCGAGATGCGCAGCTGCCGTTCCTTCATGTGGCACAAACTCTGTGATTTCTGACAAAGCTTCTGCATCTCAGGTCCCCATATGGAAAGCTGGAGTAATAGTATTTCTTTTACTGCACAGGAATTCAAATTCTGTCGTTAAGAGCCATAAGATTAGGAATGGATGGATTCATTTAACAGTTGAGTGGCCTAAAATTCTGTGGCGCTAAACTCTTCTTGGAAACTAGATTCATTTTTATCATCATTGCACAAACTAATCATCTCACTTAGAGGAGAAGTCACTCAGTAAATGTTTTTGTGAGAACAATCCTTCCCACCTTCTAAAGCATTAGAAAAATATTTGCCTTTAGGATATATGCCAAGTACTTGATGTTTATAACAAAATAATGATGGTAGTTAGAATAATATGGATTAGTATTGTAAGCAAGTTTTCTGTAACTTTGGCATTAATAGTTCTAATTTCAATATATGATCAGATCTTTAAGACAAGTTACTGATGGTCAGAATGAGCTATGTATCCTGTAATGTGTTATTAATGCTCTATGAGGTTGATAACAGCCCCATGATTGAAAAGTCTTTCCATTCAAGAACTCCGTTTTACAACTTCTGAATCTGTTAAAAACAGAAGTGCTTCTCAGATGCAAAATGATGGATCTTTGTGTGCTGCTCCGGACTGACGTTGCTTTTGTGGCCTTTTGCTGTCAAGCTTCTTTGTAACTTGGGGCATACAAACATCTTTCCTTCCTAAGGTTCTGATTTGCATTCACTGAGCCTCTGCAGTGGCTTAAGATGTTTTGCCCATTCATAGGCAGTTTGAGCTTAAAAATGCCACACTGTGAGGTGGCACAACGGCGGCGTGACGGTGTGTTCTCTGCTGCAGGGCTTGTCCTTAAAGTTAAAAGAGAAGCCCAAAATTGCAGAATCTCCAGGGTTGTAAGAGCTTCATTATCAAATACTAACAACCTCTGTTAAACAATTCAAATGGCTTATTCAGTTAACTTATTCTAAAGTCTCCTGTATTTTAGAATAATGTTTCTAATAACCAACTCACTCTGGCATGAAAGAAACAGCAGCTTCAGTGTTTAACGAATATTTAAAAGGTGATCTGCTTTGAAAGCTGACTGTTGGTTAGTTTTTATGTTTCCTATTTGAGGCTTGAATCTTAATTTTTCTCCAATTTCTTCTGTTGAGACTTGGTAATGACAGAAAGAGGAAAGCTGGTGAGTCCTTTTCTGGTTTGCATCATTGTGGCTTAACTTTTCCTTGGTTCCACAAAATATGAGTGGAGGTGTTTGAGTTGGTTTCAGGATTAATACCGTATGGGCGTCTTTATTCTGGGAATAAATATTCATTATTCACTAGTTTTCATCATCAGTGTAGTCTGTACTTTTCCTGCTTCCTCCAGTAGTCTTTGCAATAGGACTTCAAACTATTAGTTGTAAGGCAAGTGATTTTTTAAAAAAAAGTCCATTTTCAGGTCCAGGTGGCAAATCTTTTCAAGGTTAATAGCCTATTTGTAATGGAATATGGTGACCTTAAGGAAATATAATGATTTGTAAATAAAAAAATACAGGGATCTTGCACTTCACTGCTCAAGTCTATTGACCCTGAAAGACAGCCATCACGTGTGAATTAGGAGAAAGTTGGTGATAATAAATAATACCCCTTGCTGGTGACAGTACCATAAATGTTCATCATCATAAATAAATATTGAGAATGGAGAAACATACAAATTAAATATAATCTAGGACAACAGACTGTGGCAGTGTGATGTTTGAAAAAAATATTTCTGGTTCTTGGCATCAGTATCAAATATGTTATCTGCATTAGGTGTACTTTTTGGACCATAAAAGTGGAAAGGTCTGTCAAATAAAGCTTGCTCTTCCTATGAGATCATCTATAGAAGTCAAAAGTTTTAAGTTAAGCAGTTCAAGATTTTCTTTTTTAAACACTGACCTAAAAGCAGAATAACCTCCTGATGAAGGGGTTCATTTTGGCGTGATTTTTGGAAAGTTTATCTCCACATAAATACATATCCAGCAAATAGATGTGTTGTTTCTTGGTGTTTTATCTTTTAAAATGTATAAGTGTATGTATTTATATACTATACATCCATCTTTATTTCTGTTTTTTTTCTTTTGCAGTTTATTGTGGAGTGTCATGGAAATACACTTCTTCCCCAGTTTTTGGGCATGTACCGGCTTACTGTTGATGGAGTTGAAGTATATATGGTTGTTACAAGAAATGTGTTCAGCCATCGTTTATCTGTTTATAGAAAATATGACTTAAAGGTGAGAAATAACTGCTGATGAAATAACTGACAAAGTAGCTGAAAATCTTTGCTAGAAATGTTAGATTATCCTGGTGCTTGAATATTGCTCAGAATTTTAATTTGTTTTAAAATTGTGTTATGTAAAAGCCAGCATTAACTGGTTTACTTCTGCATCTAGGTTTAGCAAAACTGAAGGATGGTTTTATAGAAATTGTACAGATTTATTTGTATTGTGCATTTTTAAACAGAGCGATTTAACCGGGTATGTTTGTTAAATGGTAATGGTTAAAGGTAAAACCCTTCACACGAGTACAGTAATAATTCTACTTCCTATAGGTTTTTGTCAACATTATGGAAAGCCACAGCTGATTCTGCAGAGAGCTTTTGTAAAATAACTAAATATCATCATCATTTAAACGAATAAAATGCTACTAACTACTACAAAAGCTTCATATTTCATTCTATATTTTTAAAATAATTCAAGCAAAAAAGAGAAGGTTCTTAAAAAAATACCACAGAATATCTGTTGCTTTTATCATAAGGTGTGTTTTAGTTTTGTTCCAGGTTTATCTGCTCATTGTAGTTTTGCCAGTAGTTAATGTACACTGCTTACAATGAATGCCCAAAACATAGTCTTAGTCTTTCTACCTAAGGGATTGTATTTTTATTTTCTCCATAAAGTCTCCCCTTAGAAACATATTTCTTTCCAATACATTTAATTTTTATGTCTTGAACCACTAAGTGCATCTGCAAACTTGTTTTAAGATGTTTATTTAGCATTCTATATTAAGAAATTTGTATAGCTAGGTACTGCACTATCCTTTCCTGCTGTCCCGTATCTACCTAGCAATTGGTTAGATGGTTGACTGAATGTGATTGGTAAGAACTGATTTCCAGATTGTCAACAATTGACTTTTTGGTATTTAGTGTTATTGGCAGCAGAGCTAGCCCCAATAGATTTTTTTTTTAATTTGCGAGAACTGTATGTGTTTTAGAGCATTGTAATGTGCAGATGCATTAAAAAAGCAATAAAAGCACAACATAAAGAAACGTAAATGAGATGCAGTATATTCTTAACATTGGTGTCATCAGCTCTTGCTATTATTTACCTCCATGAATGCTCTGTACTGTATTCAGTTTGTCTAGGTGGATAAAGATAAACTTCTCTTGAAATTTAAATTTAACATCAGTATCATGTTATTCTTCAAAACAAATGCCTTCACTGAGCAGATTTATCATGACACTGCATAAATTATAAATCACTTTTTCTTTATTTTCATTGCTACAACAATTGCAGTTGAAGGTTCAGAGTCCTTTTTCCGATGTGAATATTTTTGACACCAGCTTAGACCTCACTTGTAGCACAAGTCTTCACCTGTGTAGATACTAAGAAAAAGAGGCCACAGATCAGCATAGGATTTCAAAGGTATTTTCCTGGCCACTGAGGCATTTCATTAAAATTACTTCAGTGTCAAATTTGCCAATCTCCCTAATTTTCACCATTGTAGATTTTTCTTCCAGTTTTGTTTTCAGCTAATCCTTTTTCGGGCCAAATAGTCTGTTGGAGCAGTGTGTTGGAGCACAGAACACAGCATAAAAGGTGTTTTCAGTAAACTAAAATGACAGACTTTTACCAGGCTTTATTATCGGTTAATGATATAATGTCACCTCCAGTTTGTTCAGAAAGCACCATATTGCCTACTAGTTTTAAGCTAATAACTAACTAACCAACTAAATATATATCCAAAAAGTCTTTGGGAAGCACTGCAAATCTTGTGAATTCACAGTTGGTTTCATCTCTTCCTTTGACTTCATGTTGCTGTGAGGTGCTTTGTTCTTGTTTGTACTTTGTGATCTTTTAAATATTTTTATGTGTTTATATTGTGTGACATCCTTCTCGAATGTCTATTACATACGTCCAAGTAGTTATATAAAATAGGCTGTTCCATAACCATACAGATAAATTGGCACAAAAAGATGAGAAGTCTGCCAAGCAAACTGAATTTCCAGGATGACAGTCCCAAAATGAGGAAGAGACGTGAGGAAGAAGCTCCAGCAGTCAGGAGGACAGTAGATGTAGAGCATTTGAGGATTTAATCCATCTTTCTTCTCTCATGATACATCTTCTTCAAGTGATTGCAGCAGTTCAGCCGCCCTGAGCATTCTACCTACTGTATCACCTTTCTTTAAAACAGCTCTCAAGTTCAGGAGGATGCAGCTCATCCACTTTTTGACCTGTTATCGTAACATTTTCAAATTAGTTTCTGACATATGCACATTTTTAGATCCATTTTTTCTGTTTCAGGGCTCTACTGTGGCTCGAGAAGCCAGTGACAAAGAAAAGGTATGGTGCATTTCCGTTTCTTTTTCAGTTATCTAACCTGCTAGCTAGTCTCAGGACAAACATAACCAACACTGTTCTGCCCCTTTTCTTTGTTTTCTGTCATATTCTCCCCTCTTGAGTTCTACCTTATTCCCTCCTTTATCTTTCCTCTATTTTCTGCAGACCTTTGAATATTGGTTTGCAGTGGTGTTGAGATTTCAGAGGTAAGTGAGCCGATCCTCTACCACCTCCTTTTCCTTTTTTCTCATCTCTTCTTAGTTTCTTCAGGGCCTGCCCTGTGGTAGGAAAACATCAGGACTTTCTTCTCTTTCCTCCTGCTTCTTCATCTTCTTTCTCTTGCTCTTTAATATTGAGATTTATGGATACTCAGTGTCGGTTAATGGAATGATGTGATGTGGCAGCACTTCTAAAGTGAATGCAAAGATGAACCAAACCTTGAATTGTGAGAGCCTTTGGGTATGTAAAGCTCGTATAAATGAGCAAACAGCTGACAGAATTGGATGTACACGTAGCTATAATGAGAGACAGTCTCCCTCAAATTTTAGGCTGAAGCTTTGCTCTAAAAGGAAATTGATCACTTTGTTTATCCTTATCTCCAGTTCATTTGGAAAATTTCATGTTCTCAAAATCAACATTTCTCTGAGCTTTCAGAGAAATAGCCTCATGGCACTGTAGGTGAGGTTTGTTTACAGATTCTACAGATAACTGAAGGTGGAATATAGTCTCCATCATCCAAGACTTCTTAGATTTCTAAATTTGGGTGAAGTCTAGGAACCTATGACACCTGTTTGCTTAATTTTTCCAAGCATGTTCCTTCTGAATTAGCATAAGATCATTCAGCAGAAATAGCCTCATGGCACTGTAGGTGAGGTTTGTTTACAGATTCTACAGATAACTGAAGGTGGAACATAGTCTCCGTCATCTAAGACTTCTTAGATTTCTAAATTTGAGTGAAGTCTAGGAACCCATGACACCTGTTTGCTTAATTTTTCCAAGCATGTTCCTTCTGAATTAGCATAAGATCATTCAGCAATTTGCTTAAAAGACTTCATTTTATGTTGTCCCAAATGCCATTCCGATCATTTGTTTATCTCCTAAGCATTAGTTGTACCATACTTTCCTCTCTGAGTCTTCTACAGATCACACAACTGCACTAAGGAGTAAGGGACATGCGGTAGCTGTCAGGCCTGCAGTTCTCACTGCATGAAAAACTCTGTGCTAAGTTTTTCCAGATCGTCCTAAAGTATGACCGAACACTTAGAATTCTTCTTCCAGCATTAGGCAACTACGATGTCCCAAATGCCAGCTGCAGTTACAGTAGCCAGCATTAGCTCTCTTTTGCTGTACTGGGCCCTCAAGATCATGTCTTGAATGGTCTATCATGTCTTTTCTTGTGGTCTATTTTTGTTCTTGTTTAGTAGCACAACTCTAGAGCTTTTAAAACAGGACGATGAACCCTTCAGTGTCTTACAAAACGATACCTAGTGTCATTAAAAACCTCCGCTGGTAGTACTAAAATAATCTGATAGAAATTAGGAGGGCAGGTTGTTTGGATGGAACTGCTTCAGGCTGCAACCTTAATGCTTGGAACAGTCATGTAAAGTTTAACAATATTATGTATATTCAGCTGGATATGTACCTATACAGAAACAATACAGATATCTAGTGCAGTGGTTTTGAGCAGCTTTAGGAATATGTCTCATAATAATAAATAGTTTAATACTACTGCACACAATAGTAGTTAATATATTGAGTGAGAACCTCAAAGAAACAGTGACTTAAAGTTGTTTGCATGTAAGTATGTGGCAAAATTACTATTGAACTTAATTATAGCTAAGTTGAAACAAAGCTGTATAATTTTGTATAACTGAATACAACAATTATTCTCTAAATTTAATGCAAAATCATAACTTCAGTAAGGCCAATGACATCTTCAACACATCTAGAACCTCCCCTGTCATTTTGAGTACTTCTATGAAAGGAATGTAAAATAAAAGAAAAAGGTTGCCCAGATTATTCCTCTGTTGCTCTAAATCTCACACATTCTTTTCTTTTCAAATGAATTTGATTTCTTGGAGATAGAGCTACACTAAACTTATTGATGGTGCAAGCAGACAGTCTAGGGCTGTTAGAACAGCCTTCTGTTACTCCTCATTCCCTTTAAACACCAGTGCAGCAGGGAAGCCACAAGCTAACACTCAGAACAAACACTTTTAGAAAGTGAATTAATTGGGTAGAATTTTAAGTTCATAGAGGGACCAACATTTTGCAAATGCTTTAAGAAGGAGTCTTAGAGATTCGAGCAGGGAGAAGTAGTATTTTGCTTATTACATGTTTTTTGTCGTAACTTTTGGGGTCTGCTGTTTGATTTGAAAGGGTCAGAAGAATAGACTCTGTGTGTCCATATTGTAGATGTTCAGAACATTCATCATCACTGCGATCTGATTCTCCTGCAACAGGCACTAGAGCTGCAGCGATCTACTCATCTAAACCACTCAAGTGTATTGAACGCACAGTTTTTAAGCTTAAATAAAAAGGGGGGTTGTATTTATACTAATAGACAAGGAAAGCTTGTTTTTGAAACTCTGAGTGGTGCTAAAGACCCGCTGTCATGAGATGTATCTCTGCACGTGTGACACTAATTTTGGGGCCTAGAGGACTGTGTGGACATAAGTATGGAAATGGTCCACAATTAACAACTGGCAAGTGAGAGCCCTGTAGCAGGTTTTTTCTCTTCCATTTTCCCTTAAGTAGATGTCACTGTTTTCAAACTTTTTGTTTGTGATCTTCTGTGAGAATCTCAAGCCAATTTTAAAGCTGTTAAAATGCCTGGAAAATTTTTGCTTGAAAAGGGGATTAAAAAAAAAAAAAGAAAGAAAAAAGACATTTTAGCAAAAGCTCTGAAGAGATTTTGGCATCTCCTGTGTTAGAAGAAATCGCTCTGAATGGTTGCGCAAATCCAGACAATCTCAAATACTTAGCTGTTGTAGTAACTTAGTAGCTAATTTTTAGCCAGAGGCAAGTAAAATTAACAATTCATTAATATCGCCCTGAAATTACATTAATAATAACAGAATTTCCATTAACGGCAGTGTTATTTCATTACTTACTATAAAGGTATCCACTGCTATTCACATTTGAAAAACAGAAAAGTAATAAAAGACAGGAAGCTTTTGGTGCCAAAATGACTGGCAATGCTGTAATTTTTAAATGGGCTTTTAAGTAATTCATATTTAATTTCAAATGCCAATATTCAAGTAATCAAATGGTTTTCAGAATATCGAGCATAATATGCTAGCTTCTTTTAAAGCTGCAGAAGCCAGAAAACAGAAGAGCAAGTCTTTCAGTCACATTCTAATGCAGACTACAAATTTTAGATAAATTACTTTGAATTGGCATACTTGGCTAAAATTATCATGTTCTTGAGTCTTTTTCCTATCAAACTACTCTGTTATTATTTACTCAGTTAATGAAGAGGAGGCAATTGTGCAGAAAGATTTAATGGACAATAAAATCAGGAAAAGAAAACTATTTTTCTACTTTAGTTTTGTACTGCAAAATAGGTAACAGTATTCAAACATATGGGTTTTTTAATCAGTTTTTAGGAAGAAAAGCTGGCTGGAATGACTCTGTTACTTTTCTGTCCTGTTTTCAGTTTGTCTCCTGTTTGACTGTCTTCAACTGTTTAATATCCTAACATATTGATGGGAAGCTCTGAAACTGTCATTTCAATATTTTGTGAGAATCAGCGTGGAGACAAGCTCCGTCGCTTAGATTTCACCTTAACACACAATTCCTTTCATTTGCATTATAAGTGATGTTTTTAATAATAAAGGCATCACTTTCTTGGCAACAAGTATCATAACACACACTTACAGATGTCTTGAATTTTAAAAGAACAGTATGTTTCAACAGTTGTCAAATTCTGACAGCGGCTCCTTTTTTTTTTTTTTTTTAGGCTTTAGTTCTCTGTATTTTTTATTTTTATTATTCTAATAATGGGCATTTTCTATTCATTCCTTGGGTTCTCTGTATTTTTTTATTTTTATTATTTTAATAATGGGCATTTTCTATTCATTCCTTGGACAATTTTGCCCTCTGAAGTGAAACCAGGATAATGCAGAACTCCCCTGGTGGTCTGTCTGCTCACAATTATGCTATGTTTGCAGTATGACATCAAATTAGCAATTACAGCTGAGTCTACTTGTACTTATAAAGAACTTAAGCATGTTGCTTGTGAGCGAGCAACCCAGAAGGAAATTTGAAGAAGAAAAATAAAACCTAACTGAACTGAGGCACACCGTATTTCTTCTTTCTTGAGCAATTGCAAAGATTATTACCTGTTTTTAAATTAATCTCTTTGTGTTGCCACCTCTGCAGTATGTGTTGTTTCATAAATAAGCATAAATGCAGAAAAATTACAGTAAATACATTTGAACAAGGGATTTTCTATTCAAGTTCCTTTTGGGGAAAAAATTGCCATAGTTTATAGCTATGTTACATCTTAGTTAAATTGTATGCAAAATACATAGCTCTGATAATTAGATTGAAAGATGGATCTAGATGTGAAAAACAGTTCTAGGCTTTATTTTTTACATTATGTATTACAACACATAGTAATTAACAGATTTCTGAAAGGACATATATAACTAAAGGAAGAAAGATTAGGAGCATAGCAACGAGACTACTCAGTCTTGGGTTAGTTTTTTTCTTTTGATGTCAATAAGTAAAATTTCATTCAAGGTAGATCATCCCAAAATCTGAGCTATATTTTCTGGCTATTTCAAAATTGCTAATTTCAGAACAGCATTTTTTACTTTTTTAGTGATTTTAATCTGCTTCATATGCCCATCTCACAAAACAGACATGTGAAGCTTGTCTTAGATTTCTGTGTGAAATGAATCCCAAGGTTGCACATACAGAGATTATAATTTAAAACATCACACTGCAATGCATTGCAAAGATGGGAATAGACATTCAGAGTTCAGATTCCTGTTTCAGCATTTGGCCTTTACATGACACCAACCCCATTATTGTTTTTCAAAACAAATCACTAGTTTGCCTTTGTTTGGGTGGGGTTTTTTGTTTGTGTGTGTAAAAGGCTGTTTTCCATATGTTAAAAGACTTTTAAAAAAAGGGGTGAGGGGAGCTTTTTCTTGCACTTTATATATTGCATGTTCATTTTGCAGCAGGAAGACATTAATTCTAGGGATAATTCTGGATGCATTTCTCTGATCATTGAGAAGACATATAGTTATTATTTTAGGACATGCTTGAACTCCTAATTCATCTACAACATCCTGCACAATTTTTTTGTCCTTCAAAAATGCCTGATATGCTGGCTAAAACCATTCCAGTGTTCCCTCTCAAACCCCCCTTTGGCGTTACAGCTCTATTTCCATTGCCATTTGCAGTCCTGTGATGCCAAGTGGAGCTGCAGACCCTTGTTTGGTTAGAAACCCCCGCCAAGGGCAAGGCAAATTATACAACAGAAGTTTGAACCCAGCTCCTGTAACCACCAGAGGGAAGAAGCTGCAATTTTCAGACTTCCAGAGAAAGCCCTAGTTATTCTTTCATCTTGTAGATCTAGTGACTTCGGACTTTTGATTCAGTTCAAAACCACCTGTCCCGAATTATTTCAAACTATATTTTGCGTAATATCTTTTTTAAAAAAAATACTGCCTTCCATATATGCTGCTGAGCAGAGTCAGCCTAAAGTTAATCTAACTGATTTAATTCTTTTATTAAAAAAGGTGCCTGCAAGCCATGCGCTGTAGAAAGAAGCCCAAGGTGTGGAACTTCACTCTTGGCAAATGTTTTATAGCATTTTCAAAAGTTATAAACTGTAAGCCCATTTTGCCATGATTAGGACTCGTGGCTAGTTCCAAACAACAAGACTGCTATGCAACATTTCTCCTACAACCTAATCTTTGCCTCTGTTAGGTGAGAAATTGCTGTCGGGTTGTGAAGACAATTAGCCTTTTTCATTTTTCAGCCCAAGATTTACTCTGAAACTTAACTGTCCTACAGCTGTTTTAGCAAGTTTCTTCCAAAATGTTGGCATTGATATTAGCCATTATCATTATTTTCGGTCATGATGCACAAAAGTCCCTTTAGAAAAAAAAAAATTGCTAATGTTCATTTCAGCACAGTGGGATGGGATTCTGAATTGAGACATGTTAAGAAATCTGCAAAAACTATTTCCATATTCTGTAGAAATAAAACTTCACCTGGTTCTTACCTTGCAGGATATTTTTTTTTCAAAACCAATGGGTTGTTTCACCATAATTTTACTTTTTGAATCAGGTTCTACACATTCTGCCATCTTAGCCAAAGAAATCTTGCTTTTCAACCTGTTCAAAGGCAGTGAAATCTTCCTGCCATTAAAATTCTCTGTGACCATGGCAAACTTTGGAATGAAAACCTGAGGTGTGCAAATAGCATGCTTTTTAAACAAATAAATACTTCATATTTGTAAAATCTATTGTGCCTTTCTTGCATCTTTAAGTAGGGAATTAAAAACAATGGAGATGTTTCAGAAAGAAAACCTATTATTAATTTAGTGGAAGTAGTTAGATGTTCATCTCCTGTGCAGCTCTTAAAATATTTAGTTCTTTAATGATAGTAATATGTTCCTTATAATGAATTACATTCTAGGAGAATCATTTTCCAACAAGGATTTTGCTTCATTGGAAATATTTGAGACTTCATTAAAAATTAACCATATCAATTATTTCATTAAAGCAAAGTCTCCATTTTTTCATTCAGATGGTGCTTTAGACTGCCACAATGTGGTTTTCTTTGTATGTTTTTATTTCAGTGCATAAGAAGAAAATGTACATGTTGGGATTTTTTTAACATGAACGCTTCTATTATTAATTTTAAATAACCACAAATAATGTGCTGAGGGCAACCACTGGCACAATCTCTTCTTAGCTTTGGTTTCTTACGTGGCACCCACTGCTCTTCTTTCTTTGTTTTTCTTCACGTGCCTCAGTACTGGCTTTTAATTTATGCAGTTCTGCACTTGCCCGGTCTTCCCAGCTACGGACGTTTGGGAGAAGAAAAATGACCTCAGATAAAAATCCTTAGGGGGATTATTGAGGACCAGGGGAGCTCGCACACAAGGCAGGGCAGAGTCTGGCTTTTTGGGAGAGCTGATTCACTCTCCTGAATGCCCTTGGGAGCACCCCTTGAGTCTCGTGATGGCTGCGATGGCAAGAAATGCACCTGTGTCAGCTTTAATCTATTTTTAATAAAAGTGAGCTAGTAGAGACAAGGTTAAAGTGAAGTATTGCACCTGCGCGACGGGCTTACCAGCTCTAGCGTCTTGCAAAAAAAGACATCGCTTGTAATTTAAGTTTATTTTTACTGAAGGCAGGACTGTCTTCAGTGGAGAAGTGAGCTTCCCCCTCCCACCGCCCACAGGGTCTGCCTGGCTGGTGCCGAGCTCTACAGGAAGTCTGTGGCAGAGCCTAGAGATGAACCTGCATCTCAGCATCTTAACCACAAGCACATCCTTCCTCCTTACCCACCCCCCAGCTTTGAACAGCATCAATAGCGAAGGGGTGGGAGGTTCACTGTTAAGGGGTTTGTTTCACTTTAACCTCTGCCTAGTTTAATAAATAACTTGGCTATACTAGCTGGAAAGATAATCTGAGGATTTTTTTTTTTTCTAGTGACTTTGGGCTAGAAATGAAGGGAGCTTGGTTTCCTGCATTCTTTTCATTATTGTTTCATCTTAAATTAATTCATCCAAATCTCCTCTCCATTCTTAAGCATCCCACGCACTGGATTCCATCCTCTGGTGTTGGCAACATCCCTGGATCTGCAGTCCCGCCTCTGCAGAATTAGCCCTCATCCATGGGACAGTTTGCTTGGTTGTGTATCATAATCCCTACAGCTGTTAGTCTGGAATGCTTATCTGATGTTTCCCATACTCGTTTTCATCCTAAACCACTTACCAAGTAGGGCAGAAAGAAAATCAATGCACATTGTGCTGTCATATTGTAGTAATCAATCAGTTGTGAGCTTTGAGAAGCATCATCTTTAAGTAAAGCAGTGGAGCACTGCAGGATGGCTCCTCTGTGGAAGGAGTCTGGGATGGGTGAATGGTTATGGCTCCATCTCAGCTGCTTGGAGTTTTTTCCTCTTATTTTAAATTAAAATACAGAGTCTCTATGAGAGGGTATTTTAATATATCAGTATGTTCTAGGTGCAACACAATAATAATTCAGAGCAGCCAGATTAGGATTTGATTTTTGCCAGAGTTCATAGGTGTCAGGATGCAAAGGATTTAACATGACTACTTAAGTGTTTTTGAGCAATTATTGGAAGAGAGTGTTCACTTTTCTAAACAAAAGCAGCATTATGGGATCTTAAACAATTCACAAATTCCAGGTCCAAAAAAAAAATTTGGACCTTTGGGGAAATGAGTATTTCAGCCATTTCTGTGCACAGCCCAACAGCAAAAAGAACCATTGTGAAGATCTATAAAGGGCATTTCAGGGGCTGCTGTGAGGCTCACATTTTAATGCTGTGCTTTATAATAGGTACATTTTTGGAGCAGAGAAGGAACCTCTGAGATTCTTTTCCTTACTGTGTCGTAGGAAGAAAATAAACTTTATATAAATGCTATCTTCAGTAAGGTTATAAGCAACATCTGACTAGTTAAAGTCATGGAGGACATTCTAGTGGGCTGATGCCTTTTATTCCTAGCAGGAGGACTTTCAGTTTAAGAGAAAATTATTGTATTCAAAGTACCCATTAGTTCATGGTCATTGAGGGTTACAACATTTTCAGAGCGGTTCTTCTGCAACATTTTCTTTGTAAAGAAAACCTGTTCTTCCCTGCTGTGGATTAAAGGTGGGAACTGGGAGAAAGGCTGTTCATTGCTCTTAATGGGTCAATTTTTTAAAGGCTCTAATTGCAGAAGCCTACTACTGCTTGTAGTTTGCTTGACCAGGTACCCTGAAGTAGCTGCTCTTTTGTTTGTTGGCTTGCTGGGGCTGTTAAGTAAACTTCCAGCCGCTGCCCTTGGAGAACAGAGCCCGTTTGAGGGGTCTTAGGACTGAATCCAGTGGTTACTCTGTCTGGCTTTCCTTAATGCTGTTGCAAATCACTTCGTGGGAGAGTTAAAGATTAAGATAATCAACTAATGCTCCAACATCAAGAATGTTTAATTACTTATTAAAAGGCTGCGGTCTTCTCTGGCTATGGTCTTCTCTGGCATTTTCCACTTTTAAGCAGCATTAGGTAATTCATGTTCAGCTGATGCTTTTTAAATAATTATTTGGTATTAGGCACTTATAAAAATTCACAGTAGCTGTGTAAAATGCAATCCAATCTGACTTCATCTATAAGATCTGATGCAGTAGCACTTTGTTACGAGATACAGATTGTGTTTCGACTTCACTTATTGCCAGTCACTTTGACAAACGACATCTTGGAAGAAACTCAATGCCAGTCAAGGTTTGATGCAAATCAAGTATTGAGTTGGAGGTTTTGCCTTAGCTACATTGCCTGCACGCTCAGTAAACTTATACCTTCTAGGCCATTTCCAGGGGGATAAGCAAAGGAAACGGCTCTGTGGGTGCAATGGAGGTGCCTCTGCTTCCCCCGGAGCGGTGGCTTGGTGGTGCCCTCATGGGCACAGGGAAGCTCCAGAGGTGCCAGTGCTGGTGGGGACACCACGCCGGGCGACCAGCTTCACCGCGTGCCTCTTTGTGATCCCGCTCTTACAGGAGTTTTGGTTTGTTTTAGGCCAAAGAGCTGCCGACGTTCAAAGACAATGATTTTATTAATGATGGCCAAAAGATTCATATTGATGAAAATAACAAAAAGATGTTCCTTGAGAAACTCAAAAAGGATGTTGAGGTAAGAATGTGCCTGTTCAGTTATATGGGATTAAAATGTGTGGTAAATTACAGATAGTCCCAGGAAATCATACCTGTAATTCATTAATGAAAACTCTTGTTTGTAAGACTGTTTTAAATGAAACACAATTTAAACTTTCAGGAGTTGATCACTGCTTTTGCTGATGTGACAAATGGCTTGCTGCCATAGCTAGTTGCCATGCATTGTCCCTGCCTTGACGATGTGATGTTAAAATGATGGTGCTGCTTAGTACTTAAGCACTTTACAAGCCTAGTACTTCCAAATGCCCCCGAGAGAGAGGTAAGTATTGTTAGTTATATTTTACAGGTGTAGGTACACCAGAGCTCAGCCCATGCACGGACTGTGGTCTGTAACAAGGAGGGTAGCATCCCCTATGCACAGCCATGCATGTTCTATCTGTTTCGTATTAGTAATCCAGTTTTAAATCATCCTTAGTATCACAACAGTAGAGTGCTTCGTTAATTTGTATACAGCAGTTGGACTCATTGTCTTAATGCAGTCTTCTTATATAAATTTGTAATTGGCTTAATATAGTTAATACATAATAGAAAAGTGTTAAAATGTGAATTTAATAGAATATGTTATTATAACTTATTTAGCTCAGCAAATAAAAGAAAATAAAAATTGGGCTAAGTAGTTCACACAGCTTGACTTTGGTTTCCATAATTTAGAATCTCGTCACTAAACACAGTATTTTGCGATCCCTGTACTCAGAGCCTAAAATCTGATTTCCTTGTTGAAAGAGACATGATAGCAAAATGTGTCTGTGACTTAATAAGGCTTTCAGCTATTTATATCAAAGTGACTCTCAGAATTGACTTGTCTAGTTCTTAAGATCTGTATCTCAGTAGTTACACAAAACAAAATAGTAAATTTAGAATTTACCCAACAATTTGCTTTTGAGGAATTCTAATTTCCCATCATAATAATGATGAGAAATTTATGATGGTGGTAATTTATGAAAACATAAATATTTTGTGAAATATCAATGTTTATTTTATATTTTGAATGTTGTGCTGGAAAATTGCTCTACTGATGTCACAGCTCTAGAGATAAGTTTATTTGTGTTTAAGTTTTGTGCTCTTCTAACATGTGCTGCTGCTGCTGCTGACTAACGCTTTTACAGTAAGTGGGTTGCAGACAAGATCTCAAGTATGTGCAACGAACGTGGAGGATGCTTTATTACCCCAGAAAGTGGATTTTGTGCGATCTTCTACATCATTTACTGGATTGAAAAAATAAGGGCAGATTCCAGATCATGTCTTGAGAGGCTATTTTTTATGCTTTTGAAATTGTTCAATACTTATGTAAACCACGAGTATGAAGTCATCTGGCACCTGATTTTAACAATGACAAGCTGTTCTTTAATCTTGTTTTTCTTTCATTGGGCCTTCTGCCCTTGTTAGATAACTGATAGTATGCAGTTTGTACCTAAATCTGAGTGTAAACCGTGTAAACACTCAGATTTCACTACAATGAAAAGAAATGCACAGCACTTGATATAGGATTATCTTATCACACAATACTTATAGTTAAACATATTATGGAGTAGTATTCTAAACTGTGTGACTTTATATCCATTCTTGTTTGTCATTAAGTAATTTGTGTTACTGTGTTCCTCTCATAATCGAGTCTTACGTCATCCTGTGTATCCCCTTCCTGTGTTCAAACAGACAAATATTTATTACTGCTGTTTTGATGTCCTCTTGTCTATTTTCCTGCCTCCTCGTTCCATTGAAAATGTCCTGAGAAAAAGCACATAAGGATACTTTTTCCATTTTAAATAAGATGATCTTTTCCTTATGCTGATCACTTTCACTGTCAGCAGCAGCACACTTTTTTCCCAAGAGATGTTCTCTTCTAATTTGCAGTTCACTCTTTTTCCCAAGAGCCTGTTCTCTTTCATGCTTTTTTGTATGATTATTGGTAGATTTTTCTCCTGTCTGTCCTGGTATTTGTCAAGTACCTAATGATACGCCCGGAGTCCTTCCACTCCATCGCCTTTGGCCAGTCTCATCTGTTGTTCTTGTCTATTGTTGTACATCAGCTCTTCAAACTTAGATCTCTTCTGGTCTTGGGAAGAGTCTTTTGCTGTATTATATTGAAATTATTAGAAACCAATTTCTTCTTTCTTCTTAAACCTCTTTTCAATCTCACAATATTTCTTCTAGCGCTTGAATTCACAGTCACTTTGTTATCTCTGATTCTTCTTTTTTCTCAGAATCAGGTTTGTGACAAACTGTAGTTTCTCATTTCCTAATATTTTATACTCATCTCTTCCATCACTATCACTATTCCAAAGTCTCGCTTAAATCCCTTCTTCTCTGATCTGCCCTAACTTCCTTTTTATAACCGCTTGGAGTTTCTAAAATCTGAAACAATGCATATTTTCTGCCTCTTTCTTTGCACGCCATAAGCAAGGTCTCCACAAGTTCAGAATCTCAGCATTGCTTTGGGGCTGCACCACGGCTCTGCCCTGCCTGCCCCTCACCCCTTGAGCTCTGTATCCCACCTTCCTGCTTTCATACCTTCCTTATTTCCATCCTCCCCTCTTACCTTTCTGCCTTATCCTGTTTCCCTCGACTGAAATAACACTCGGTCTATACGTAAAGTGCATTCATCCTTCAGTTTTTTAAAAACTCCCATTCTCAGTCTTTACTCAAAACCACCCGTCAGTCCCATTCGTGTTTTGCTTCTGTGCTTTAAATCATGAGCCTGTCTCTGTGAAGAAAATATAGCATCGTTTCATATCTTAATGGTGTAAAGCATCACAACTTTCCACTGCAAGAATATTTAAACACTTTTTCACGATTCTTTAATAAGGCTTAAAAGGGAGTGAAGGGGCAGAAGGGGCTACCAGATGGTAGCACAGAGGCTGCTCCGGATGCTGAGCGGGGCCAGGATAGTCCTGATGGAAACACAGGGCAGGAGGAATAGAATCACAGAATCACATGGGGTTGGAAGGAGATACCTAGTCCAAGCCCCTGCCAGAGCAGGTCCACCCAGAGCAGGTTGCACAGGAACGTGTCCAGGTGGGGTTTGAATGTCTCCAGAGAAGGAGACTCCACCACCTCCCTGGGCAGCCTCTGCCAGGGCTCTGCCACCCTCCCAGGAAGACCGTTCCTCCTCATGTTTGGGTGGAACTTCTTATGTTCAAGTTTGTGCCCATTTCCTCTTGTCCTAGTCATCAGCTCACAGGGCACTGGTCTTCACTACAGCAAAAATGGCTTTTCCCTGAGGATTTGGGGAGAGTGGGCTAGAGCTTTTTTATGATACAAGTTGCAAGTGATCTGTGTGCTCTAACTGCATCGTAATAAATTCAAGTATCTCTCTGCTTACTTTATCACTTAATCCTCCCTTTTGGTCCCTCTTAGAAGTGCCTGTTTGACTCTACTGATGACATCTTTGTGTAACATCTCCTGTTTGTAAGTGGAGCTTACATTTTTCCCTTTTGCTCCCTCTTAGAAGTGCCTGTTTGTCTCTACTGATGACATCTTTGTGTAACTTCTCCTGTTTGTAAGTGGAGCTTACATTTTTCAGTGATATTGACAAATTGCTTATTATCACTTTCTAGTTTCTTGCTCAGTTAAAACTCATGGACTACAGCTTGCTGGTTGGGATTCATGATGTTGAAAGAGCTGAACAGGAAGAAGTAGAGTGTGAAGAGAATGATGGAGAAGAGGAAGGTGAAAGTGATGGGACCCACCCCATTGGAACCCCTCCAGACAGTCCGGGAAACACGCTGAACAGCTCGCTGCCCTTGGCTCCGGGGGAATTTGATCCAGCTATCGATGTTTATGGAATAAAATGCCATGAAAGTAAGCAGTAATAAATATTTTGATGTTAGGATGTATTGATTCTTACACCAGAATCCTAACGTCTTTGCAAGCACAAATGGTCAGCACCTATACGTGAAATACATCTATAATGCTCAGCATTGCTATGAACATATTTCTAAAATACTGCGATGTGTGGGGATGCAGTCAAATAATTCAGCTACTACATAATCAAATCAATATCAAAATACTGGCTTAGCTATTCAGATGCAGCAGTTCTCAGTTAATTCATGGGGTTTTTTCATCCCTTTTAGGAAATCTAGTATCTATAATTGTTCTTTTCCTGGCAGATAAGACAACACTGTTAAAAACAGTCAATAAAGAATGAAAATTTGTGCATTCACATCCAATTTCTGTGTTCCAGCTAAGAAAATTGTTAAAAGGAGTGTGTAAGAAGCTTGAATGTGGGTTTGATATTAATAAAACTAAGTATAACTAGTTACTTCTGGCTGTTCAAGACAGGAAAGTTAGCTTATTTGTTGACACAGAAGCATTTCCTTTCATATAAAACTTCACAGTTTTTTTTTCCACAAAGGAACGTGAAATCCACGTTACACGATGCGAGCATTATTCCTAGTTCTGTATGCTGGAGGGTTATTTTACATTTGTTGAGGGAGTTTTGCATTATATAGGAGTGCAATTAAACTCTCAGTTCAGAGTGGCTTGAGCCTATGGTCTTCACAGATCCCCGATTCTGACTGACATTAACCTGTCTTTACTGACAGAGCCTTATAAAGTGTCCTTTGTTAGAAGGAGGACTCATGATTAAGATGTCTCAAAAGTCATTCTTACTGCCATGTATTTGCCTTTGCAGATGCGCCTAGGAAGGAAATATACTTTATGGCCATTATTGACATTCTTACTCATTATGATGCAAAAAAGAAAGCAGCCCATGCTGCAAAAACGGTAAAGCATGGGGTAAGTATCTGGGATGGGTTTTTATTCTGATCCCATTTATTCTACTGCATTTTTGTTGTTCAATGCACCAACACAGCACAGTTCAGGAAGTCCAGGGAAAGGGGAAATAGATCAGAATTTTTTCACTTTTTTTTCCTTTGACACGTAATTAATGTAAATCAGTTTTTTTAAATATGCAAATCATTTTTTTCCTTTAACATGTAGTGTAAAAGTACAGAGTAACTGCTACCCATTGCATACTGAGAGTGGAACTCCCTTTCCAGCTGTACACATAGCTCTCTTACTCACAAAGAACTCTGGTGAGGTACATTTTTAGATCTTTGTCCTAAATTTGTGAGATGCACCTTATTCTTGCAGACAAAGCTGTTCACCAGGCACCTGTGTTAGTGTACAGCTCTGTGAAAGCTGTTGTGAATGTTACTTCAGATGCAGGACCCTAGGGACACTTCATTCTTTGGCACAGCCTGTTGAAAGTTAATTCTTCAGCATATACTGTGGCTGACTTCACAAGACTTCTCAAAAAGAAAAAAAAAAGTACGATTTGCAAAATTAAGCATAAAATGTACATATTAAATACTTGGAGACCATTAAGTGAAGGCTTCCATTTGACTGCCATGAATTTACTTTGACACCCAAAAAATGTGGTGAAGAAGCCCAGCCTTCCGGAGTTACGATTTCTATTTACCATTATCACTTCTATGGTGATTTAAGGTTCAGATTTCATAAACTTTTTAAAAAGAGCATAATCGTTCATGAGGCTGAAATTCCTCCTCTAAGTATCCAAAGGATCAGGGCGTTGTGGGAGGTCTTCAGCAAAGGGTCTCAGGGCCTTTAAGTTTACAGTAGCGAGCGATGTGGAATGCTCAGCCATGAGCCCCGCACAGGCCTGCAGAAGGTATTTTTTGTCTCAAACAATGCTCTCATTACTCTCTCTGCTCTCAGAGCAGCTGAAGGTTGATGCAGACCATATGCAGCCATTATCTGGCAATTATTAATGAACTTTGAATGTAGCAGACTTTAAAAACTCACGCTTGTGGCTTAAATAAGGGATAGAAACATATTGTAAGCAACAGCTATGATTATTAAAGCTGACTGTGATTGGAACTTCTTACAGAACGTTACATTCATACAACCATTTTGTTTATTTTGCCTTATGAGCCACCTGACACTGAAGTTTGCTCATTAATTGCATGCATGCGATTTTCCCCTTTTGTAAAATGAGGAAAATATACATACTAAGGCTCTGAAAACCTCAAATAAAAATATGAATGGAGTCGCGACTTCACTGAAATAGCAATTGTACAGCTTATTCAGTGAGTCCGGGTTTGAATGCATATGTGTTGAAAAAATGTTACTCTTTGTTACCATATATTCCAAACCAGGTGATTCAGCATTGGGGTAGCAATCTTCAGTGCTGCTCTGTTGGTGCTTAAGTGGATAGCATGGTTATGTATGCAGTAGAAATTATATAGGAGGCTGAAGTACAATGAAAGTAAAGGAAAGTAAGGAAAGTAAAGAGAATACAATGCAGAAATGGGTGATGGATGCCCCACAGTTGTGGTGGTGGGTACCAAGTATCACTGTACTCACGTGAAGCCTAAAAGTGCATCAGTAATATTCCAGTTGAGGGCCATGACAGTTTTGTTTATAGTGTCTGGTTCTGAGACCCCACATGAAACTCCTTGAGTCAGTAAGACTCTCGATGACAAAGCATCAAATAAAACACTGACTCTTCCTTCTCTCCTCTCCCAACTCTCTGTTTAGGCTGGTGCAGAAATTTCAACTGTTAATCCCGAACAGTATTCAAAGCGCTTCTTGGACTTTATTGCCAACATCTTGACGTAACCTACCATGTTCCATAGGACAGACACGAGACCTGGGGACAGCAGCAGTGGCTACAAGTGTAGGGGAAAAAGGAACTCAGAGAAGCGCTCATCTTGCAGAAAGCAACCCCTTTGTTTACATCTGCTGGCAAAGATGACTGAAGTGGGGTGGAGTACTCGCTTTAACAGCTGCCTGATATTCCCAGCATAGTTCTAGCTATTTCTGACTCTTTTACGTGTGCAAAAAAAAAAAAAAAAAAAAAATTTAAAATAAATTAAATAAATAGAACAGCTTACTCAGAGTGCACTGTGACAGTAATGCTCTGATGCTACCAGCTGAAATGGAATAAACGAGCAAAGAGGTGTGGGGTGGGGGTGGGGAAGAGTAAATGCATGTTAAATCTACAATATCGATATCAAATTGTAAACTGTGGATCAGTTTATTTTTTGAACTAAAAAAGATACATGACAGTATTCTTCATGATGATGGTGGTGATGATAATAATAAAAACCTTACTGCGAATGTTACACTTACACCCTGCACACTGGCACTCCTTAAAAAAACAGCTGCAACAGCCCTTGGTGCCGGAGGTTTTTCCCATTCGGTTTCCAGCAGTTGGGGTTTTTTTCCTTTTTTTTTTTTTTCCTCCCTCTCCCATTTTTGTCTTCTTTTCAGCACATTGTGTCAGGAAGTTCAGCCTCTCAGACATCTGAGAGCCGGCGTCTCTTATCTTACAAAGAGCTAACATAATTCATGCTATGTGTACATTTTTGCTACAGTAAACTTACGTTAAGGGAAAACTTTGCTTATTTCACTTTGTTACCTGAAGTTTTCATTTGTTTTATATTCTTGCAATATAGGAACTAATAATGTTACAAGTGGGAAAAAAAAAAAAGCTTATCTGAAGAAGTGCATAGTTTTGGGCAATAGTAGCTCCATCTTTCACCCATCGTGAAAGATGTGCACACTGGTAGAAGTTCCATTCCCTTGTAATTTACTGGGAATTTGAAGTTGAAATGCTTATGTTGTACTGTTGAAACAGCGGTATTTTATTATGGATTATCCCTCGAAAAATGAACCCTGAATTTTACTGTTTACATTATTAGGAAAGCAGGGATATTTCTGAATTTCAGAGCCGTGTACAATATATGACTTTTGAGTTTACATGTAAAGCTATTTTGCAGTACAAATGAAGTAATATTTGTCATCTTCCAAGGTGTAATGTGCAGTAGTGTACTCAAGTGAATGTCTCGCTCACCTCCGCGACGGACTCTTTTACAATAAAACGAGAAAGGATATTTCAGAGGGATTTTTCCCAAGGTCGTCTTTTAGGATCGAAATGACCTGTCCTGCCATTTACTCAAGTTTGATTGTATAGTACATTGCCTAAAACTGTGCTGATCATGTTTAACTTGTTTAAAAATTTTTAAACAACGACGTTGTATTTCTTCTCTTCTTGTATTTTTCCCTGGAATACTCCATGCTTGAAAGAGACAAATTTACATATGCTTAAGAGTTTATCTACTTATACACTGTGCTAAAGCTGTGCCTTTAAACAAATTTCTTTATCGAAACTGTTAGATTTTTGTAGGCAACGTGAGAGAAGTCACACACCCTCCCCGTCGTCGTTTGTAACTCAGATCAGGAGTGCCAGCATGCCTTCTCCATAACTAATGTCAGTGCTGTTAAGGCTGCAACTGTGCATAACATACGTAGTGGTTTACTTCAGAGGAGCCTATACAATAGCAACCCCTCACACTCTCTTCAGCGGCCAAAGGCAATACTCTCCCTCTTGCTGTGTACTAATATTATATATTTTTTTTTTCTCCTTTCCCCGACCTTTCCTCCAGGTTTTTGGGGTGGGTTTTTTGTTTGTTTTTTTTTTTGGTTACGTTTGACTTAGTGATGTCCGCAGCACTGTAATGTATGTGTATACTTTTGTATTGTATGTATTTAAATCAGTTGGTACTGTATTTTGGGGTGGGTTTTTTGGTTTTTTTTTTTTTTTTGGTTACGTTTGACTTAGTGATGTCCGCAGCACTGTAATGTATGTGTATACTTTTGTATTGTATGTATTTAAATCAGTTGGTACTGTGGCTTGGTATATTTTGTTGTTCTCTCCTCTCCCTCTGTACCCCAGTTCTCAACATTCTCATGCGTTTTCCGAAGCGTGCTGTGGCTTCTTGAAGGATGAGGCCACGGGGAGACCCTGAAGTAAAAATGAGGTACACGTTCTTGGAGTAAATATTTAATTGCGGCCAACCAGTGTACATTTTTAGACAATTTTAGACATTTACAGCAAAGCATTCTTTTTGTCTGTGTAGCAGTTTTGTCACTCATTCTTGTTGATAAACTGTTTATTTGGACAGGGCAAGGAAGACTCATTATTGTGTATGTTAGTGTTTAGATTACACTCCAAACATGAGCAAGGCTTTATAAAATAAAGCACTTTGATGACTCACTAGGTAAATCCTTTGTTCTTGTGTTTCAACTATGGCTTTGATCGCTTACAGATGAATTTTGCATGTTAAAATGAACTCTTACTATAGCACAAAGGAAAAATAAGAAGAAACTTTCATTAGATTTTACCCTGCTTCTTCCGTGCTTACTTTAAATGGCTTGAAATGCTTAGCCATTGAATTTTTGGGCTTTGGCTGTGCTCTGAGAGCAAATGCTGAGGTTTGTAATTGGCGGTATTATGGACTAAATTTTGTGTTACAGGAAGATCATCCGCAGGAAGATAAAACAGGAAGATCATCCGCAATAGTTAATTGATAGAAGGATTGACAGAACTTTGCTAATGTGTAAGATCTTACACTAAAACATGGATCTTAAAAGTACTTGGGATTAAGCCCAAATAACTT